ATTATCAAAATAAGTGTATCTGTTCCCATCCCTCCCCTGCAAGGCCGTAGGTGAATAAAATCCAGAACCTAATCAAGCAGTCTCCCTTCAGAAACATGTAGGAAAGAATGGGCTGGTTTTAGGAGCTCGGGGAATTCTAGCAGGTTATAGGACGCTATTTGATGAATAGTCTGAAAATACCTTATTACAATTTCAGCAGTAATAAGGAATGTTAGCAAATCCACCATGAAGTGGAAGGCCATGTAAGATAACAGTATTAGTTTGGTGGTCATCCACAATGTGCAGAATCAGAGACAGAAGGTCCTTGAAAATTATGGAATGGGTTTCCATTAGGGAGCCACTGCTTCCTATTGTGAAACCAGTAACACAGTGATTCAAACCCAGCTTCAATGTTTTCTGGAGAAGTAAAACAATCCAATTCCTTTGTTTGGAAACCATGATGGTTTAATAGTTGCAGAGAACAATACATATCTTACTGCACTTTGGGTTAAAAGTATCTTTGTTTGCTTAGATGTTGAGCACTACCACTTCTGCTTCTTTTCCTCAGATGAGGTTGAGTTAGTTCAATTCTGATTAATTAATTTTACAATACAAGGGAGTATTATTTCTTTGTTGATCTTTAACAGTTTATAGTTTGCAGATACACAGCAGCAACAGGCTGCTCCATTCATGGCTGCTGTCAGACTCAGAGTTAAAGATGAGAACTGAGAGAGGCTGTTTGGAGCCAGGTGATAACCATGATATGTCCAGGAACAGGACAGAGAGAGACGCTATGCTTTATTAAAAGTATTGTGGAGGATGTTCTTTATGGAGGACCAATCCTGCAATAATTAAAAATAAATACATAAAATAAATAAATGCTCTAAAAATAAATAAGCATACAATTAATTGGCCCCCCAAAAATACAATAAACAAATAAATGTAGGTAGAAATTAAATTATACAGTGAGACATAAATATATATATCTCTTTTAATTAGCTTTTGGTTTATTTGCCTTTGTAATAATTACCGTACTTATTTATTGTCAGTTATATTCTTCAACTTATTTATTACTTATTTTTTTAAGCATTTATTTATGAGCAATATTATAATATTTTTGTCTGTTTTATTCTTCCTTTGTATTTTTTTTTACCCTGTTTATTTCTTCAAAGCTATTTATTTCTGCTTGACATATTTACATTTCTGTATGCATTTCTGCCTCATTATGCAAATAAGGAGGGGTGTGTCTTAAGGGGTCAACTTCTGCCCATTGTTGGTTAGCAGCCACTGTTGCTTAATGCTTGCATGAAGCAACAGTGGAGAGGAAAAACCTCTTATCAGGAAGAAACCTCTGGCAGAACCAGGCTCAACATGGCAGGCTTCTGCTGGACTGGATGAAATGAGACAGGGAACGCAGTAAGAGTCCTGGAAGAATGACACTCTGATGGCTTTAGCTATGATGATGGTGAAGGGGATGGAGATGGGTGAATTGGTGTCATCTGAATGGAAGTCAGACATGCCTGTGCTTTGGATAGCAGACTTACACTGCAAAAAACGATCTAGAAATAAGTAAAAATTTATTAAATAAAGTGTATTTACCCTTAATTTGAGTAGGTAAATAAGATAGTTTGCCAATGGAATGAGTATTTTACTCTTAAAATAGGAATTAGATAATATACACTTGAAATAAGACAATGCAATTGTCTTATTTTAAGTGTAAATTGTCTTGTTCCATTGGCAAAATGTCTCTTTACCTCCTCAATCCAAGAAAAAATGCACTTATTTTAAAGCTACAGTGTGTAATAATTACAGGGATATACAGTCAGAAATGTAATATTATACATAACTATGTTATTTATCATCATCTACGAGCTCAGCCTCTTAACCTTAATATTTGCGTTGCCTTAGAATTCGTTATTTATAATTACATAGGAGCGGGTCTCGCAGCCATGGAGGCAGACATCTTTGCGCTACGGCAGCGCAGAGCCAACAAACTAGAGATTGCGAGATCGCCCATTACGCTCGAAAGTAACTACGGCAAGTTGAGAGAGATGAACTGAGACGGTACTGAACAATAGATGGCAGTATTAAAATTATCTATGTAAACAAACCTCATCACTTGAGAAGGTAGGTGATGCGGACGTCGTGGAAGACATTTTGTCCCGTAACGCTTGCCATACTCTTAGGGGGGAGAAGCGGTGGGGGGGAGATGTTCATGTTGCTGCGGTCTGCAATCTGGACGTTAGATGTCGCTGAAAATTACACACTGTAGCTTTAAGAAAAAATGACTTATCTAGATTTTGATTTTTTCCTGTGTAGTTGTGGATTTTGAGACTTTTTAAGATCTGGATGCTGATTGGGCTTCATGGAGGCGTGGTTCAAAGCTGATTAGCTTGCGTCGGAGACAGATGAGGGTAAGTAATCAGTTTATTCAGTTGAACTTCTGACTAGGCTCTATTCTTTTGTTTTTCATTAAATATCACAGAAAAACAAAAGAGTTCACACACCTGAAACTTTTTCACAACTAAAGACATCGTGACAGCATTTCACTAATATGATATAATAAAATAATCAAACTATAGTTCATATTTGTGAGGTGGGAAAAAAATTTTGCTAATCGAAAAATAGAAAGTGTGACATGCATTTGTATTCAGCCCCCTTTACTTTAAAGCCTGTCAGTAAAATGTATTGTTGAAATATAACATTAAATCAATACAGGTTTGTGTTTGCAATATGAAAAGAATTTCAAAGAATTTTAAATCTAACAAATAAATTAATGTGGATATTAATTAGAATAGTTAGAAATGCAATACAGGTGCTGGTCATAAAATTAGAATATCATGAAAAAGTAGATTGATTTCAGTAATTCCATTTAAAAAGTGAAACTTGTATATTATATTCATACATTACATACAAACTCATATATTTCAGATGTTTATTTGGTTTAATTTTGATGATTACAAATGACAACAAATGAAAATCTCAAATTCATCATATCAGAAAATTTGAATATTACTGAAGACCAATAAAAACAAAGGATTTATAGAAATGTTGGCCAACTGAAAAGTATGAACATGAAAAGTATGAGCATGTCCAGCACTCAGTATTTAGTTGGGCCTCCTTTGGCCTGTATTACTGCAGCAATGCTGCGTGGCATGGAGTCGATCAGTCTGTGGCACTGCTCAGGTGTTATGATAGCCCAGGTTGCTCTAATAGTGGCTTTTAGCTCTTCTGAATTGTTGGGTCTGGTGTATTGCATCTTCTTCTTCACAATACCCCATAGATTTTCTATGGGGTTAAGGTCAGGAGAGTTTGCTGGCCAATTAAGAACAGGGATACCATGGTCCTTCAACCAGGTACTGGTAGCTTTGGCACTGTGTGCAGGTGCCAAGTCCTGTTGGAAAATGAAATCTGCATCTCCAAAAAGTTGGTCAGCTGCAGGAAGCATGAAGTGCTCTAAAACTTCCTGGTATGTGGCTGCGTTGACCCTGGACCTCAGAAAACACAATGGACCAACACCAGCAGATGACATGGCACCCCAAACCATCACTGACTGTGGAAACTTTACACTGGACTTCAAGCAACGTGGATGAAGTGCCCTCTTCTTTTCCTCCAGACTCTGGGACCTTGATTTCCAAAGGAAATGCAAAATTTACTTTCATCAGAGAACATGACTTTGGACCACTCACCAGCAGTCCAGTCCTGTTTCTCTTTAGCCCAGGCAAGACGCTTCTGACGATGTCTGTGGTTCAAGAGTGGCTTGACACAAGGAATGCGACAGCAGAAACCCATGTCTTTCATACGTCTGTGTGTGGTGGTTCTTGAAGCACTCACTCCAGCTGCAGTCCACTCTTTGTGAATCTCCCCCACATTTTTGAAGGGGTTTTGTTTCACAATCCTCTCCAGGGTGCGGTTATCTCTCTTGCTTGTACACTTTTTTCGACCACATCTTTTCCTTCCCTTCGCCTCTCTATTAATGTGCTTGGACACTGAGCTCTGTGAACAGCCAGCCTCTTTAGCGATGACCTTTTGTGTCTTGCCCTCCTTGTGCAAGGTGTCGATGGTCGTCTTTTGGACAACTGTCAAGTCAGCAGTCTTCCCCATGATTGTGTAGCCTATTGAACTAGACTGAAAGACCATTTAAAGGCTTTTGCAGGTGGTTTGAGTTAATTAGCTGATTAGAGTGTGGCACCAGGGGCCATCAATTTTGAACCTTTTCACAATATTCAAATTTTCTGATATGATGAATTTGAGATTTTCATTTGTTGTCATTTGTAATCATCAAAATTAAACAAAATAAACATCTGAAATATATGAGTTTGTATGTAATGTATGAATATAATATACAAGTTTCACTTTTTAAATGGAATTACTGAAATCAATCTACTTTTTCATGATATTCTAATTTTATGACCAGCACCTGTATATTCTTAAGTCCTCTGTTTGCATGTCTACTGTGCATTAGGACAGTTCAGTCGAGTCTGTTTTGATGTGCCGCTGAGAGCTGTGAGACGTCCACCAGCAGTTCTCCGTCTCCAGCTTGTGCTTCTTTTCCCCCCAGTCAAACCCAGTGTTCCTGTGCAGGCGTGCTTTCCTGTCTCTCGAGCCAACCTGCTAAGGAACAGGTGCGCCTGCCGGTATGGAAGATGCGAGCTGCCTCCCAGCTCCAGCCGGTGCTCATTATACACCCACACTCACACATGGACACTCAATATAGTTTCATGAGTCTCAGGGATGGATGATTATTTAACTTTTACCTTTTTTCAATTTCCTAATTACATTACCGCCACACATTGTTTTATTATTGCGTTGAGAGGCCAATAAAGGGAATACTGGTGACAGTCCTTTAGATGCTGATTACTTACCTCATTTTTTGCCTACTTTGCTTTGAGTGAAAGCGGTTTTATTACATTTTAACCCATAAATAGATGCCTACTGGCCATTTTTAGAAGAAGAACAATGTAATAAAAGCAAAGCAAAGCGTTTTGGTATTCATAGTCATATATATACTAGCTGATTACCTGAGCGTGAGCGCCGTTGATCATCAGGTAATAGAGTTTGCTGAGGATGCTTTGTTGGAGTTGGTCCCAGGAAATAGACCGATCCTCCCTCATCAAGAATGGAGGTCCAAACCTTCAAGAAACAGTTTTATTGATGTTTTATTGAAGTTATGTTGATGGAACAACATCGTGTGAAAAAAAGAGAAAAATACACAGTGGTTTCTCACAACTTAAATACCATTTATATCATAAGCAGCACTGTCTCAACATTCCCATCTCTATGAAAGGACAGAGAAGGACGATGAGGAATAAAAATGGCAGCTGAGGTGAGACGAAACCATCTCTCTGAGATGACATGCCTATTGTAATAGACGTCTAATTGAGGGCAGGCCTCCCCTGTGATTCAGAGATTTATTATGATGAAACCATGTGAGCATTCAAGCTGTAACTGTGCAGAAAGGGAGAGAGATGCATAAAGAGCCAACTTTATCTTTTTATTTTTAGCTATAACAATAATGTTTTATCATACAAACAACACCTCATTGTTTTTAGTCACTTTGTTTCTGAGATCGCCACAACATAAGCAGGTGTAAATACAGCATTATTATATGTCTATAAATACATTTCTGAAAATTGTCTGTGGATTTCTGGCGAATAAACTGATAATAAAGTGTTTTTTGTTCATTTTAAAATAAATATTGTTTAATATATCCCTGAAATGATGCTATAAGTATCTAAAATGATCAATGAAGGATTTTAAGTAGAATCATCCTGTTGTACGCTATCCATCAGCTCTGCTGAGGTGTTAATGAAGCCTCGGGTGCTCTAACAGCAGCAGTCGTTGTCTGATTAGCCCTGATGAGACGTGGCTGATCTCCTCTCTGGCTCCGGAGCGGCTTAACGTGAGGAATGTGACAATCGCAGCCCGTGTCCTAAACAAGTGTGTGTGTGTGGTGGCTGCTGAAGCTCTGACACCATACCACACCCCATCTGCTATGAGAATGGAAATTAGACCAGAGTCAGCTGCTATTAAAAGATCATTGATTATTTTTAAGAGGGCGGTTTCAGTGCTATGACGGGGACGGAAGCCAGACTGGAACTGTTCATAAAGGTTGTTGTGAGTTAAGTGAGAATGAAGTTGAGAAGCGACTGTTTTTTCCAATATTTTTTAAATAAAAGGTAAATTTGAAATTGGCCTGAGATTATTGTAATTGTTGGGATCTAGTCCTGGTTTCTTCACAATAGGAGTGATAATAGCAGTTTTGAAAAGAGATGGAACAATTCCAGAACCAAGAGAGGAGTGGATGATGGCAGTTATGAAGGGGAGGAGAGCGTGAAGGCAGGATTTAACCAGGGCAGACGGGATGGGATCAAGTGGGCAGGTGGAAGATTTAGATTTGTTGATAAAATCAGAAATATCGGAGAGGGTAGGGAGATAAAAGCTGCAAAAAGGTCATGCTTTACATCATTAAGCTTCCAGCCTGCTGTGTTTTAGAATGAGAGCAGAAGGAAGTTAACTTTCCTGTAAGCTTCAAACTTATCCACTGTAGGAGTAGGTTTTAAATGTAGTCGCTTTATAGCTTCTTGATCATTAATGGAATTCCCTGTCTTACTTAAAAACTTGTCATAATTAGTTAAACCACCCCATACTTTTGAATGGGCCTTAGTTTTTTTGACTCTGGGTATATTCTTTGTAAAGCAAAATAAGCACCTCTACATTTAAGACTGATCCCCCAACATTGGTATGCCTCCTTAGCTATTGCTGAGTTATTTCTTTTTAAGGGGCGGTGGAGTACAAATATATTTGTTACCTTACCTAAATTTGGCTTTTTATACTTTACTAGAGTAATTATTTGTTAGACAACTTCATACCTCTACTTTCTACTCCTTACATTTTAAAAACAGACTTGCTCATTTTCGTGGTGGCCTCTTGGCATTTAAAAGATCAAAATAATTTGTTTCATCCAGACAATTAATTTCTTTATAATAATAAAGAAATTCATTATAAGGAAACTGTCATCTAGAATTGCAGAAAAATGTTGCTTAAATACCCCAGTGTAGTAAAGCATCTGTCCTTCACATTTTTTCCTGCACTACTTTTACTTTTATACTTTAAGTAGTTTTAGAAATGGTACTTTTAAATTTTTTACTTGCGTGAAAAGTTTAAGTTGATAATCTACAAAACAGTTCTACAAAAATGTGTTTAAACAGTAGGATATAAACTTCTACTTGAGTAATACTGTAAACATTAATACTATTGCCACCTCTGGTAAGGGGTAATATTTACCTTACAGTCTGCTGGCCTCTTCCAGCCGCATTGCAAACCAGCAGCAGGATCTTGACTGGCACACCATGGTTGAGAAATTCTGATGATAATGCTCCAGATGAAGGTAACCTTTGACCCTCAGCAGGAGGCCTCATCTGATGCTGCTTCTGCTGCACATCCTGTCCTGGTGGGACATCAGGAAGCTACTCCTCTGTTCCACTTGTGCCTCTTCCAGCGCAGAGGACCGTGTCCGACTGAGAGGAGAGCTGAAATTACACCATCCTGGGAGCTCTGTGATGTCACAGTGGACAACCTGCTCTGTCACGACAAAAGCAGCCAAATAAGGTCTCATCACATAAAGTCAGCTTGAGTAAAGTTCAAAGTGATAAATCACATGGTAAATTAAACATGTAGACAGTCCCGCATCGTATTGATTAGAAGCGACAGCTGGCCCTTCCTAAAACCACTATGTTTTATTAAACACCAATGATTCTTGATTCATCACTGACAAAACAAATGCCACAGCAGACTTCCTCATAAACCACAGAGCCTCTGTTTGAGCAGGCCTTAGTTTACACAAATAACTTGCAGAGCCACTGCAGAATAAAGAGCAAAGCAAATTCAACACACCGAAGCTTTATCCAGTCACTTCTGATCGTAATGTGCTCCCCACGAGATGAAGCATAACGCTAATTATGCAGTCTTCCACTTCTTAATGTCTCTCTAATTAAGCAAGTCAGAAATTTTGCCTAATCATGTGATTTATTTTAAATTAGCAGCAAACTCTGAAGCAAAACAAATCATGAGTTCCCAATGAAACATGAGGAGATGGCACTGACTGGCTGAGGTCACCTGTAGCCCTTCCCCATTAAGAATAACCATAGAGACATTGGGTCAGAACCTTGAGATATTTTCCATTTTGCAGAATCTACGATTTAATGAGGTAGAGGGATGAGGGTACTGCTGAGGTTCTAAAGGCTATCTTGTCTGGATCTCTGGGCCCTGCTGGGGTCTACAAGGGCAAACTAAGAAGCGTGCCATATTGCAAACTTTAAGGATCTAATTGCAAAAACAGACAGAGAGGGGAACTAGTGTAGATTGGGAAGACCAGAGCAGCCTCTTGGAAGAAGGTTGGAGTGGGAGAAAAGCTGGCCCCTCATGTGGGCCGAACCAGCAGGTAGGGATGTATAGGTGAGACCCAAAAAGATCAAAATAAGAGGTACTAAACTGAATGTGCAGTTTTCTTAATGAGTGAGTGTGTTGCAGGTGATTACAGAGGCCCTGAAAGGCAAGTGAGGAAAACAAAAAAAGCCTGGATAAGAAGAATGTAAGTTTACATTTTATTTCTGCCCTGAAAGGCAAAGGAAAAAAAACGTCTAGATAAGAAGAGTTTTAAGTTTTTTTCTTTCCTAGAAGAAAAGTGAAATGTAACTTTTTTTTTCTGTCCTAGAGCAAAAGGAGAGAAAAAAAAATCTATATATAAAGGGCAGATTATACTTCTGCACAAATCAGAACTGGTCACGAACCAGTTCTGTTGGTATGCCTCTGCACCGTCGGTCTGGAATTTGTAGTTTCCCGCCAAAGTGCAAGGGGGAACCTATTCTAGAACCCGCGAGAACTTCGGCCGATGGTCACGAGAACTTCGGCGGCGCCAGCAGGAGTGTTTATTTTCCAAACAAAAAGGGCAAGATATCACGGTCACGGAGATGGATCTAGAGTTGCAAGACATCGAAGAGGAACAGGTTATGTTAATGGAGTTGGCAAAAAAATAAAAGCGGCCGCGTAGGTTGTCCATTGTATTTGTTACTCATTATCAAAAATCGAGGAGGAGGACCACACAGACTGGAAAGGCATACCAAGGACCAATCACAGCTGCTTTTTGTCTGCACACTTCCACTTGAGTTCTGGGCAGGTTTTCGACCGTCCAACGCATAGTCAGGATTTTTTTTAGACACAGAGACGGATTAGATGGTTGCAGAGGCTATGTGTCAGATGCATAAATTGGCCTTAAGTCAACTACTTCTCAGCAGGACGCGGCCAGTCAGCCTCCATGTTGAGCTTTGAGTCTCGGTCTACTGAGGTAAGCGGTGAGAAAGTAGACCTGATTAGATAACAAGGCTAAATACGTCACTTCCAGTGAGTCTAAAACTCTTAGTGCAGACCTGGGCATTATACGGCCCATGGGCCGCATGGGGCCCACATGAGGATCATGAGGTAAAAGTCAAAACACCCATTTGCAGACCTGGGCATTGTACGCCCCGCGCCACATACTGTCTAAGGTTGATTAGGAATTTAGAAATTTTAAAATAAAGATGTTTTCCAATTTCACCTCATGAATGGATTAAAGCTGCTATGCTTTTTATTTTCAAGTAGTTTTTTTTATTCACATGAAAGGAACGACAACCGGGAGCAATTTGTTCATTGAGGTACATGCGTGCATGGACACATTGGGACTGAAAAGGGACAGACTGGCTGGTGTCACAACAGACGGTTGTCCAAATCTTATGGAGAAAATGTTGGACTTTTGAAACATGCAAGATAAAGTGATGGAAATCGACGCAAATCAGAAATTGGTATTTTTGCCCTATATTATACACTAACGTGTTGTGCAAATAAGTGCTGAAAATTAACCATGTTATTGATGTTATTGAAAATTGTAAACTTTATCAGGGCACGGACATTGAATCACAGACAGTTTGTCTCTCTTTTGGAGGAGCATCAGACTGAACATTGTGACATCGGCTACCACACAGCTGTCAGATGGCTCAGCCTGGGCAAAGTGCTAAAAAGAGTGTGGGATCTGAAAGCAGAGATTGGAGAGTTTGGTGAGAAGAAAGGTAGAAATCCCAGAGCCTTCAGATAAGGACTGGAGGTTAGATTTTGCATTTGCTGTTGATGTGACTGCACTGATGAGTGAAGTGAACACCAAACTGCAAGGCAAGGGCCTTTTGTTCATGAAATGCCCAGCAAGGTGAAGGCTTTCATGAGAAAGATGCAGTTTCATTCTTTCAAGCCAACTGGAGGGCAACATTCTCACTAACATGCAAACCCTAAAAGAAGTCACACTATCAGCTGATCACCTTCGCAGGTACTTATCTAGTGAGCTTTCAAGGCAGTTTGAGGATCTCAGAACAACTGAGGATGAAATGCAGATGGTTTCTTTTCCCTTTACCTGCAGTGTGCATTATGTTCCCAGTGATGTTCAGATGGAACTAGTTGACCTGCAGTCTGAAGCATTACTAGAAGAACACTTAAAGTCAGGATCTCTGCTTTATTCCTACTCTTTTCTCAAGGAGGGGAACTTTCTAAACACACAGGAGATGTGCTGGAAAGATGTTGGTTCTTTTTGGCTATACTTAGATTTGTAAACAAATATTTTCAATGATGAAGTTTACAAAATTGGGGTACAGATACTCTCTCACTGATGAGCATCTGCCAGCTGTGCTTCGCATTTTCACCTCAGACATTCAAGCCGATCCTTTGATGCTCTGGTTAAAGCCCAGGAGAGACCAGATAACAAATAAGGTGGTTGGACAATAAAGACATGTAAGCAAAAGCTTTTTTGGAAGCTTTTATTTTTTTTTTTTAATCAGTTCAATATGATGTAGCTTGTTTGGAGTACAAAGACAATATTGTGGTGTCTTTAGTCTGTTAAGAACCACTTTCCAACAGTATTTGAAACTCCTTCAATGTGTTTTGGAGTGAATTTGACTGAAATGTTCCCATTTTGTCTGTTTTGGTTAATTTGACTGAATAAATTGCATTTTTTGTGAGGCAACTTCGCTGTTTCATTGCTTGATTTTAACATATACAATTACTAGCTTGTCAAAAACAATAATATTTACTGCTTTTTTTTATAAAGAAATACTATTAAAATTATGCAAGATTGAGTTCAGTCTTTTGGTACCGCCCTCCAAAACATTCTCTGTCTCTCATGTGGCCCCATGGAAAAAAATAATTGCCCACCCCTGTTTTCAAGGGACTATGGAGCAGGGGTCGGTCATGATGCTGGCTGCTCGATGCTGATTGGCAAAAATACTTAAGAATTTTAGAGTGACAGTGACCAGACAGCGAAAAGGTTTTCCTCATGAATCATCGTGGTTTCTGGAGTTGATTATTTCCGACTGCTTCATAACAGCTATTTTAATTCAGTGTAATAATGTGTTTTATGTATTTCAAAATGTCTTAATGTGATACGTGATGTTTGGATTTAATTAATACCAATAAGCCTTTCGTTTTTCAGAGAGCAGCAGCCACCACTGGTTAGCACCCATCTGCTAGTGGCGTTAATGTAGTAGGAGGACCAAAATCGAGGTTTAACAACATGCTCCAGTGGAGTTTGCTCGTCTGATCAAAGGGCACGCTTGATAAAAAAAAAAGGCATTTTCACACTATGGATTTTCTGGTAGGCTCTAAACTAAAGCCAAAAACACCAACACACAGATTTTAGCACGGAGAGGTCAGATTTCCTGATTATGTCTCATGTTATTTAGTTGTTGCACAGAGGACGAATGCTCATTGGACTGTTGTCCAGCAGATGGTCAGTAAAACCTTCTGCAAAGAAGGTAAGTCAAAAAATATCTGTAGAAGCTGAGGGTGCTTGATGCAATCAAATAAATGAAGGGGGTAAGAAAAAGTGTCAAAAGATGCACAAGCTACACGCACTCCAAAGCCTGGAGGATTTTGTGTAGCAAAGCCTAATCCAGACTTTAGGGGTATGTGAACTGGAGTGGTTGTCAACTAGCAAACACAGATAGATCCAGGAAGTTGGCTGCAACTATCTGACTCCTTGTTTTTAGCTGCTTCTGAACCAAAAACACCTGAAGCACCTACCCTGCTCTACAGACAAATAACCAGACTAAAGTTTTCTGTTTAGATATAAGTAATTTTGTGTTTCATTTGGAAAATCACCCAACAATCTGGAGAAAAAGAGGCCCATAATCCTGCTTGAGGTCCAGTGAGAGGTTTTCATAGAAATCGTGTCATTTTTGCACTTGATCTCCAATATTATGGCAACTTCAACCAGGAAACATTAGAGCTCTGTTTCCTTCAGCTGACAAGCTTACAGAGATGCTGTTATGATTGCTTTGGTTTTTCCCTCTAATAAATAAAGCAAGTTTCATCTTCATGTTTGCCTCACTGTTATGGTGATTGTTGAGTTACACAGAGAAGACAGTCATCTTTAGAAATAGAGACATGTACAATTTACATAACACAGTAAAAGTTGACTCTGTTTGGTCAACAAACCTGTTGATGCTAATCTTGTAAGGAAAGGCACAGGGCCAACTCTTTGTAGCTGCAGAAAGCTTGTGAACTCAGCATACTTCTGAGCTCACAACTTTATTTCAAAGAGAGACAGAGACACTGCTTAAACCACACTAAGCACGACCAGTAAACCTATAATTAAACACCTCCACATCACAGCAATTGTTTTTTTTTTTTTCACTTAGCCATTTAGGGAAGAGAGAAAGAATTTGGCTAAATTATTCTCTATAAAATAGAGGTAACACATACACAGCTTATTTAGACTCAAATCTTGTATAATAGGTCTTGTTTTTATAGAAAACAACATTTGGCAGCTGTAAAAATGCTAATTTGCATTCCGACGTCTGAAAAACTAATTTACTTTCTGTATAAATTAGGTTAAAACTGAAAGTCTTGAGTGTGATGCTTTCACCACATGCACAGCAGAGGTAAACACATTCATGGGTAATTCTATCTCTGTAATTGCTTCACAGTCACATTTAATATTTTCAATTAAATTAACACAACAGCTTAGGCCCTGTGGCTCAGTTAGATTGATGTGAGCAATGACAAGTGTTTCATAATTTTCTCAGTATTGCGTCGAGCTAAGAACACATTTAAACAATAAGATCACAATCTTGTCACATATTTTATTGGTGCTAATTACCACCAGCTTTTTCCGCTCCTGAAGCGCTGTGTATGTGAAGAGCAGTGAGGTGGTAGACAAACTAACTGGCACATGCATTCATACCTAAGGGCCTGCAAATGTGTAGTGCTGTGGGAGGAAGCTAGAGCACCAGAGAAAACCTACATCTGCAATGCAAATATTGACAAGGGAAATGATTTTAAAATCAATGGGTTTTCCTTGAATCAATACAAGGATATGTCAATTCTTGTTTTTATCTTTTTTTTTTTGCAGTAGCTTTCTCCTTTATTTGAACAAAAGAATGAATATTTGAGCAGTTGACCTCTAAAATGGACCCTGCATCACGCATGCAACTGCAATTATTTTTTAACTACCTATGCTGCTCAACTTTGATAATCCTTTTAAGTAGGAAACAACTCAATGTGCTACTGCATTTTGCACTATATTTGTTTGGACTGCACTGAACTTTTTCATACTGTATGAATGCGCTTTGGCATCATTACTTTAAACTGGTTTCTCTCATCTCCTACATTGTGTACATTCTGATCACTGCTGCACTTTATATTGGTAATGTTTATCTACTCCCACTGCAATATTATTAAACTCTTGTAAGCTATATGCAACACAATTTTGTTAGCCTCCGTGCATAGAAAATGACATAAAGTTTGTTTAAAGCTACAGTGTGTAATTTTCAGCGACATCTAGCGGTCAGACTGCAGACCGCAGCAACATGAACATCTCCCCCCCAGCGCTTCTCCCCCCCAACAGTACGGCGAGCGTTACGGGACAAAATTTCTTCCACGACGTCCACATCACCTACCTTCTCAAGTGATGAGGTTTGTTTACATAGATAATTTTACAGATAGTATTTCATTAGTCTGAGTAGGGTATAGATTTCATGTAGACTTAAGATAATAAATATACCCGTTATTTTTTCTACATCGTTGTGACGTTTTGGTGAGCTGCTTTGCATGGTGATATAAACAGACGAAGTAATTGTAGTCATTAGTTTAACAGCGAGATTGTGTTCGCTGGAAGAATATATATTCCCCGTTTACAACGCGAGGAAGAGGGAGAGGACGAGGGCGAGGGCAGGGAGGCCGTGCAGCTAGGGCCAGGCGAGAGAGGGGAGCCAGCGGGGTGAGAGCAGAGGAGGAAAGGCTTGAAGATCTCCAAAGGAGCTGGAGAGAAGTAACCGAGGTATATATCCAGAAAATCATTTTACAGAAAATTACTGAATCATTACCTATGAAACGTCAGGGACGTTGCTGAATAAGTATACTGGAGAGGAACAGCATCATCACGCCGCAGCATGTTATTGTTTTAGACAGGTCTGAGCATCCTGTACTCCAAAAACTGCAGTGATATTAGACAATTGTGTGTGTAGGATTAATTACCTGTCCAAGAGAAAACTGGCAACTTGAGCGTCACTTTGAAAACCTTTTTCCTCCATCAGTGACTTCCATCGTGTAAATGCCGTGCCAATGTTGATCCGTGTTTTTTGCCGTTTCTTGTCACGCTTGCGTTTATTCTCGTCGTGTTTCCGCTTCTTAGATGACGGGGGTTCGGTGTCCGCCGCTTTTCGTTGTGATACAGAGTAGGCATGATCCTCCATTCGTCTGATGTTTGGCCACACAGTGCCAAACAGTTTGCAAAGTCACTCACGCCTGCCGCCTTGTTCACCTTTCTTGTTACTGAGGCGCAGTATACCTGCTTCTTCTTCTTCTTCTTTGGTTTCAGGCAGACTAAACGCTTCTCAGGCATAATACTGCCATCTACTGTTCAGTACCGTCTCAGTTCATCTCTCTCAACTTGCCGTAGTTATTTTTGAGCGTCATGGGAGATCTCGCAATCGCTAGTTTGTTGCCTCTGCGCTGCCGTAGCGCAAAGATGTCAGCCTCCATGGCTGCGAGACCCGCTCCTATGTAATTATAAATAACGAATTCTAAGGCAACGCAAATATTATGGTTAAAAGGCTGAGCTCATAGGTGATGATAAATAACATAGTTATGTATAATATATTAAATTTCTGACTTTATATCCCTGTAATTATTACACACTGTAGCTTTAAGTCTAATAGATAAATACATTTGCATGCTGCTGCAGTAGGCCCTTTAAGACCAAACTATGTAATATTTGAATTTAATTTAAACTTCAAAATGTAAAAAAAATGTAGCTGCAACTGGAATTTGTGTAAATTGCCTCAAATTTAAATAAAATCCATAAACACACTGCAAAAAATCTAAATCTAGATAAGTCTTTTTTTCTTCAAATAAGTGCATTTGTTCTTGAATTAAGGAGGTAAAAGAGACATTTTGCCAATGTAACAAGACAATTTACACTTAAAATAAGAAAACACAATTGCATTGTCTTATTTCAAGTGCATATTATCTAATTATCTTATTTTAAGAATAAAATGACTCATTCCATCGGCAAACTATCTCATTTACCTACTCAAATTAAGGGTGAATACACTTAATTTAAGAAATTTTAAGTTATTTCTAGATCGTTTTTTACGACGGGGTATTAGGGCCACACATGAAGAGAAAAAATATTTTTGCCATGTCGAGATTAAACTCGACATGTCGACTTTAAAGTCGACATGTCGACACTAAACTCAACATTTCAAGAATAAAGTTGAAATGTCATGTTGAGTTTAATCTCGACGTGTTAAACTCGCCCTGTCGACTTTAAACTCGCCATTTCGAGAATAAAGTTGATATATCGTGGTGACTTTAATCTCGACATTCCAAAGTTTGGAGAAAAGAGCAACCGCGCTCCACAGCTGCAGTCTGCGTTTTAAGAGTGAAGGTAGTCTTTGACGTGCTGCAACTGTATAATCATCACAGGAACATGACATTTCAACTTTATTCTCAAAATGGCGAGTTTAAAGTCGACAGGGCGAGTTTAAAGTCGACACGTCGAGATTACACTCAACATGACATTTCAACTTTATTCTCGAAATGTTGAGTTTAAAGTCGACATGTCGACTTTAATCTCGTCATGGCAAAAATATTTTTTCTCCTTATGTGTGGCCCTAATACTCCGTCGTAGTTTTTGCAGTGTAGTGTGCAGTAATTTCTGCAGCATTATGTAATAACATTGATACATTTTGCTTGGGTGTTAAGCAGTGCCTATTGCCTTTCCTAACTGGATGAAAATAAAACTAGCTTGTGATTTTTTATTAAATATTGCATTACAATTACATGAGAGGACTGTTTTGCTATAATCATGAAGAAATTTTATATTTTTATTAGGTCATGCTGCAGAAATGATTACAAAATAGATTTTATTACATCTTGAAGCAGTTAATATAATGAGGGTGTAGTCACATTTTATTACACGTTGAAGTCTGAATTTATTACATTACAGAATACATCAGTACTGCATAATGCAGTGTCGCAGGCCCTTATGTTTTTAATATTTTAATAACATATTCACTGTATATAAAAGTGAACAGGAGCAGTTGAGGTTTTAATTTTCCTATCACACTTGAACATTTTAAAGAGTATTGTAAAAAAGATAATATTTTAAGTCACTCATAATTTACAAATTAATTATAGTGACGTATTTCAGACCATTATTTCTAATAAATATGATAATAATGGCTTGCAGAAAATAAAAACTCATAATTATGTATCTCATAAAAATCTGAATATCACATAAGATAAATATTTTAAAAATAAAGCTCAGGTTTGGAAAGTAGGTTTTTGTCTGTAAACTAAATTTATTTACAAAGATGCAGACTCACCAATGTAAAATAATCTTATAAAATAGAAAATAGGCCATCTGGTATGCTAAAGTTTGGTGGTTAACAGTCGCAAATATGCAGTAAAAAAGAAAATAAGTACAAAAGAAGTTGCAAAAAACATGTGATGCGAACTCTAAAATACACAAGAACAAAAACAAAAAAAAAACAAATGCAACAGAAAAGTGCTGCAAACAAAAGAAGTGAGCTGAAAACAAGTGAAAAACATGTATGATGCAAACTTCAAAACAGGCAAATAAAAAACAAAAATGCAACACAAAAAACGCTGCAAACAAAAAATGCTGCAATAACAAAAAAATGCAAAAAAATAAAAATTACAGCAAGCACAAACAACATGGTGCAAAAAAAGACAAAATGCTGCTCTATAGATGTCTGTGAATGTGTAGTTGGAGCCAGGAAATTAACATAAATTTCAGACAAAATGTGAAATAACCACCGGACTGATGACTCTAAAAAACTAGTAGATATGTATCCTCATTTAGCTTCACAAACTGTTTTTCAGAATAATCAGAATAATTCAGATTACCATGAAAGTATAGATTTAGCATGCATACGAAAAAAAAAAATATTGATTTACATGAAGCCATGTAGATATGAAAACCATGTCGATGGTTCTGCGCTGAAATCTGAGCTGAAATTTGAATACATAAAAATGCGACACCACTAAGATCCTCTTTCTGCACGGATGAAGATTCACTCACCTCTGCATGCCAAATGCTTGAAGTGGCCCCAACAGGAGAAGAGAGCAACCTGTTATCTGATTAGTTCAGGTATTAATCATCTGTCTACTTGAGGAAGCTAATTTAACTACGGTACTTAACAAGCATTGAACTTCGAACCAAACAGGCTTTAGTCTCTAACGATAATTTTTCTCCACCACAAAAGGAGGATGCAACTTTCTTTTAGTGCATTCTTTAAAATAAAAAGTATAATATGTAATGAACTCATGTGCTAAAGTAGGGGCATGTGAAGAGCAGAAGTAACAGCAGAAGGGTTGGGGGTCTCTGCAGAGAAAGAACTACATATTTCTAATGAGCCATAACTTATGACTGAGAGAGATTTCTTTTAAATAAGTCCACACTTGAAGGAGAATTCTGCTTCGACGGCTTTTCATGAATGATTGACGGAGCCTAACGTTATGTTAAAAACACAGGTATGAGAGAGGCATTTACCATCTGCCTTTTCTCTATAGAACCCAGCAGGAAAATCTACCAGGATAAAAAGGAAAGGTATTTGAAATGCTTCATATGTTTCAGCCAGGCTTTAGACACTTCAATATTTCATAAAATCTGGTCTATTTTAAAAGCGTGCAACTGGATCTGTTTGTAATGTAAAACAAAATAACAATACACAAAAAACAATCTAAAAAAAAAAAACGTACGCACATCTAAGCTGAGTTGGACTGTTTTTAAACATACACAGGTTTTACATTCATCATTATACATAAAAAAAAAATAAATATTACAGCCAGTAGAGTATTTACAGTTCAATCAAATCATTTGTTCCTTAGTTTTAATCATTTTTTTTATTTTATTCTCTTTTTATGTTTCTTCTATTTCATGTAAAGTACTTTGAGTTGTCTAGGTACTGAATTGTGCTATACAAAAAAACTTGCCTTGTTTTGCCTTACCTTGCCTAATTTTACCATTATTTTCGAAATACTCCATCATGAACCTTTTTATTAGAATGTTTCATTGTAAAATAAAATGTATATAGAATGTAGATCTATAAATGTATCATATAAATAAAAAAAAATCTTTTCAGCATTAAACAAAAGTATACAAATTACAGCTGAAACTATTAATTGTTTAAATCTTGATTAATCAATTATTAAAATAATTAAAATAAACCAGTAATCCAATCTGAACGTGCAGCACATTTACAGCAGTAATTACACCAAAATAAAACATTTTGCACTCAAAAAGTTTAATATTTGTCTATAGGTTCTTACCGGAACTTCTGAAGCATCGTTCTAGCTTCAACTGGTTTGAATTTTGTGAAAAATATTTTTAAATGTGTTTTACGTTATCTAATTATTAATTGTTTGATTGAAAGAAATAATCATCAACAAAGTAGTTGTTAGTTGCAGCCCTAACACACACTTCTGTAAGTTCAATAACACCGAAAAAGTTATTCCATCTATATTGAAGTCAAAGATTCAGAGCATAGCAGCATCTAATTTTGAAGAACCAAAATGATCATATTTATTATTTTAAAAAAGAACATTTACAACTTGCATTCAGTGCATGTTACACCTGCATGGTGTTTGCCATCTCTACTATCTTTAGATATATAGCGATTGACTTTTTTTCTTGCCCCAAATGCTTTTTAAGACTCAGCTGAAATTCAATCAGACTGGAGCAGTGGTGTCAAAAGTACACACATTTGTTACTTAAGTAGAAGTATAGATACTGCGGTTTAAAAACACTCTGTTAATATCACAGTCTTGGTTCTGTTATGTTTTCTTTTGAGTTTTCAGTTTTACTTTCCTCCATGTTTTCTAGTTTTAGTGGTTTAATTCTTATTTTGTTGTTTTATCTGGTTATTTTTTCAGTTTACAGGTTTTTATTTTGTTGTCCTCTGCTGCCCTCTTGTGTTCTCCTTTTTCCCTAGCACCTTTCCTGTCTGCTCTGTGCACACCTGCTCCCAATCAGCTCGTTAGTCCTTTCTTTGTTCAGTCTCCTATAAATACACTCCTTGTGCAGTTCCTCAGTGCTGGTTCCTCGTCAAACTTCGACCTACACCGTCTTCATTATCTTGCCTCATCATGATTTTTTTTCCACTGATGGTTTCAGGTTTGTTTAACTTTTTTCTTGTTGGATTTTTTTGGATTCCTGCCTCAGTTGTTTGTTTACCTCGCATTAAATTTACAAAAACTCACCTCTGCCTCCCTGCCTCTGCATTTTGGTCAACAAACCTCAACCCAATCCTGACAGGTAAAAGATGAAGTATCAAAGTGACATCTTTAGTCAAGTAAAAGTGAAAAAGTATGTGCTCCAAAAATGACTTAAAGTATAAAGCAACCTTTAAAAAACACACAAACCGCCAGATGCCACTATATGAATTTTAAAGCTCAATTTTTCGACTATTTTGAAAAATATCCTTGATAGGGCAAAGGATGAGGGAGGTCTTATTGGTCTCTGTCTCCATCTTCCGATACGCTCTCACCTCAATCCGACCTTTCAGACATTTCAACAACTTTTTCTGAATCCGACATTGTAGCATGGCATAGACAAATCGTATTTGCAGTTTGAAAAACACCTGCTTGCTTCTGATGATTTCCCTTAGCTATCCAATTAGTGTTTGCGTTATATTACTCATCCAATTATACTAGGTTCCACTAGATGATGATGCCGCCAATGATGTGAAATAAATATTTATAAACATTAAACCGAAGCCAAGAGTAACGAGTAATGTTTGTTTTAAAACTTCGATACTTGACACCTCTGGACTGGAGGGATATATTTTTTTATCATTTTAGCCTCTGCCATGCTCCAGTTAAGGAGTTAAGGAGCAACATGGAGTCTAAAATGCACTTGTCGGAGTTTCATTTGTAAGACTCTTTGAAGACAACACATCCTTTTCTCTCCGTTTCAAAATTAGACATTATTTCATGTTCGCCTATCATATAGTACATCCATCCCTCCATTTTCTGTCACGCTTATCCCAAGTGGCGACAAGTCACAAGTCCATCGCAGGGCAGCACAAAGAGAAACAGGACAAACAACCAATCATGCACACACTCACACTTAAGGATAATCTAGAGGAGCCAATTAACCTAACAGTCATGTTTTTGGACTGTGGGAGAAAGCCTGCATACCTGGAGGGAACCCACGCATGCACAGGGAGAACATGCAAACTCCATGCAGAAAGACCACAGGCTGGGAATCAAACCCCAAACCCTCTGACTGCAAGGCAGCAGTGCTACCCACTGCTCCACTGAGCAGCCCTATGATACAGTCTTTCAGTAAAATAAATTGACGTTTGCGGTTGTAATCATTAAAAATGTGATAGCTAAAACGTTCAACCTGTCAACATTGCAGTGTTTTGTTATGCAAAGCACTAAAAGGGAAATAATTTAATACATTTTCTCTTCACATTCCCAAAGCTACCTGAGATCCGTGCAGAGCCCCCTCTGATGTAGAGCGGCGGCGCCTGGAAGGCATAGATGACGTCATTCTCAGCAACGCACGTTAGATCGTCCTCGTCAAAGAAGGAGCGGTGGAAGCCAGTGGAGTAAACCTCTGTCAGGATCACCTGCACAGACAGACAGAAACGCTTTTAGTTTCCTCCAATCTATGCCAGAATAAAGTCCATCACATAAAGCAAATTTCAACTTTACACTGAACATATATATATATATATATATATATATATATATATATATATATATATATATATATATATATATATATATATATATATATATATATTTTTTTTTTTTTTTTTTTTTAGTTACCTGGTCTGGGGAGAGTTTCCCCTCATCAGCCACCATCCTCCTCAGACAAGCCACAGAGCCGAACAGAGGCACGGCCAGCCCGACCCGTAGATACCGCTGCCCTTTGGTGCTGAACACCAGAGTCACACACAGAGACCTGACAAAGACAAAAACGAGAGAAGATGAGAAACAACACAACAATTCATCCTAATTTCTGTTCCTTTTTTCTTGCTTGTATCCTCCGCTAACATGAAGGGACAGAAGAAAACGGCCATAAATAAACCAAGCCTTTTTACCATAAATAATAAATCATTAGGACTGAGCTTTATGAGTGCGAAATAATGGAAATCTCTGTTGCATTTTTTTAAAATAGGCAGCATTCTGACCTCTCTAGAGGAGCTTATGGTGCTGGGACATAATGGTGTCTTTGCATAGAACCCATCTGAATAGTCTGCAATGTCAAGAACAGATTGTTCCTTAGAGAAAATGAACCAAAAGAAAAATCAAGGATGAGATTTCAAACTATGAGGATGAATTGTATTCATCAAATTCACTTAGATTACTTTTATCACAGGAATAAATCTATTAAATCTAATAATTTATTTATACTTTGATATGTAAGTCAGCATTATACATATCATGAGTTCAGTTTTAGTAAAAAAGATCAATCAAAAGTTGTAGCTTCAAAATAAATGCAAGATTCATCAAGCAGACAAATGCAAACAAAAAACGAGGTAAAATACATGTGAAATCAGACTGAAATGTACAGAAAGAAATACAAACCAATAAAGACTCAAATTAATATTATAAAAATACAGCTTCAAAGAGGTGGTAAATTGTGTACCTTTTTGTTTTGCTCCCATAACTCTGGAGAGTGTAGAAAAAAAAGATGCTAATTATTGAGAACATATTTGAACATGATCAGGCAGGCATTAACCCTTTGGGATTTGAATAGGTTTTAGCTTTCCTTCTGTGTTTCTCTAAAGTCTAACCCATCTAGCAATAATTGGTTGAAAAGAAACTGAAAAGACGACATGAGTTACGTCCAAACAATGTCAGTGAAAGGTGAAAAGCTGTAATTTTCAGATAGTTGAAAAGACGTCAAAAACTGTGTTTTCAACGCCAAGTATTTGTAATGATCTTCCCTGATAGCTCACCTTAATTGTTCATTTCAGTCACCTTCCTAACTCTGTCCGGTTTTCTCATTATCACTGATTTCATCCACCTGTGTTTGTTCCTTCATATTGGGCTCAGTTCCAGCTATCGGGGCCAGATCATTTGTTGGATTTCTTTTTCTCCTGTCCGTCAGTTTCGTTAGTTTTAGTTATTTCCAAGGTTCATGTCCCCGTTTCCAGTAGGAGATTATATTTGAGCCCTTGTCTTCAGGCAAGTTTATTCCCTAACCAGTGGTGAGAGAGTTTCAGCGTTTCCATTGTGATTCTGATTTCCTGATTCTGTTCCCTCTGACCCACTGGCCCTGTCTGTCCCCATCTGATCTGTTTGCCTATCTGCATCTGTGCATGTCCGTCTGGGAACGCTTCTGGAATTGTCTGAATCCGAACATGCCTTTACGCTCTAAGGATTCCTGGAGCCCTGGTTCCCTCTGTTCTGGGTTGGGTCTGAACTTGTGACAGAGAGGAGGTTTCCTGGATTCCTGAATTGTTCCTGCCGGCTTCCTGCTAGTTCTCCGGGGCTGCAGCATCAGGAACACTCTGGGCGACGCACGCCGGGTCAGGTTGCCAGCCCATCGGCTGGATCACATCTTTCTAAGGAGTTGGACTGAACTGTGAAACCATGTAAGTGACTCTCTGAGATTATCATCTCCTGTCAGATAATCTTGGTCTCTTACCTGTGTCTCTTCCCCCAGAGTGTCAGTGATTGGGTGGTGCCCCGTTCCCCCTCCTACAATTCCACAGCCCCACGCTTCAGTTCTGTCTGTTTATAGTTTTGTTTTAATAAACATTTTCCTACTGACTGTCTCACTTTGAATACTGGGTCCATCTGTCCCGTTTTATGACAGTATTGGACTAATAAGGGGTAAAATCCAAACTACCAAACATGGCACCACTTTTAAAAACTAGTCTAAACCAAGACTATGATGGGCCGACAATATTTAACCTAAACCGAAGTCTAAATGACGTCTGGTGTTTTGGGGGGTGGATTTGGTTGTTTTTTCTTTTTCACCCATAAAAGATCCAATCCTAGAGCATGTTGTTGACTGCTACTAAGATTAGAAAAGCTTGAACATTATTTCAAGGATTAACTAAGAGACAAGACCTCAGATTTAATAACAGGAGCTTTCCTCCAATAGCACACATCACAATTATTACGAAAAAAAGATGCATAAAAGACCTTAGAATATCACCAAATATGGAGAATTGGCGAACCGGGAGTCCACATTTTGGAATGAAAGATCCAGGTGTTTAAAGCCTCATCTTTTCATTATTTCTGTAGATATTGGCAGGTTTATACAAGAAGCCATTTTTTTGTAGCCGTTTCCCGAGTCACAGCATTATTTGCTTCTTTGTTTTACCACTGAAGAGTAGATAAGGAAAATGGCCCTTGTTCATAAAAGTTGCTATTATGAATTTACAAAATAAAGTAAAATTGTAAAGGTTATCAATTCATTTATTTCTCCAAAAAAAATAGTTTAAATAGTTACATAAGCAGTAATTTGTTCAAAGAAAAAAAAATCAATTGTTTTGTTTTTCGTTTCACTGGAAGAATTTGCTGAAATGAAAAATTTCTATGTGATAAGACTTTCTTCTGCCAAAAAAAAAAAAAATGTATATGATGCTTTCGTATGTCTTCACCAAGGGTTGAGAAGGCAAGGAGGACTCTGACTGTCTTATGTCTAACCATTGGAGAATCTAAGACTGGATGTGCCAATGTAGCAAGAAATCACACAGGCATTTCTAAATTGCTCCTATTTTTCAGACAAAGTCATATTTTGGGTAAACTCGTTTCATTATGGTATTTTCTCTCCACCATAAACACAATTGAAAATCATATTGCCAATTGGGGATTATTTGCAAAACTCTGATGGCACATTGTCATAAAACAATCTTTAAAAAAAATTCTAACAACACAAACTAATCCTGCAATCCAGCTCATCGTCCTGCAATCTCATATCTCAGTAGGTGATTGCCGCAAATACCATGGCTAGAGTGTATAGATGCATAGGTTCACGAAAACTTCCCAGCAGATGTGCAGCATCTGGAGAAAGAAAGTGGATTAGATGCCAGAGAAACACCACAAGGAATTATAAATACCTTTTTGTTTAATCAAATTAGGGAAAGCATGATTTAATTACAGGTGAATAAACGCTTTAAAGTGGAATATAAAGCAAAATGTGTCCTAGTCAGACTTCTAGCTGCAGAAGGCTATTAAAGTCAAAGTCTATTGAGCTGTTCAAATATGGATGAGGATATGAAAGATATGAATTTCTATTAGAAATGTAATTCATTTTCCAAGGTCACTTTAACTTTTAGCCTTTTAAATGAGCAGAAAGGACATCTCACTTGTACAACAGACGAAGTGTAATAACCAGTCTGTCTTTGACGGTTACCAGTCAGAATCAGTTGAAGACTGTTTGATATTAGAAAAAAGAAAATCCCACATTGTTCATCCATTTTTCTTTTCACAGGAATATAGATATATTTCTTTTCACTGATATCAAAAGTCAGCACATACCCACAGGAGGTTATATTTGCTTTTACTGCTAAACTTTCTTGTCTTAATATTGGGGTGGTTATTTTCTTAATTTTTTCTCCTTCCTGTGCTACACATTTAATTTAGGACTGACGCTTTTGCTTTGATGTCTAACCAGCTGCAAATCCTCAACTCACCAAGCTATATTACAAGAGGACCAGCTGGATTCTGACAAGGCTCAAGATTGTCCATCTTGGTAATTCAGTCCTACATCTTTTTCTTATACGTACGTAGAGTTAAAGCATGTACCTTTCATATCTTCTATCACTAAAATGTTGGAGAAGTTAATCAAATAAATTTTTTTTTTTTGCTTTTTTTTTGCATTTTTTTGCAGATAACTTCACTATCCTCTCTGGAACATCAGATTAATTAGACTTTATAAAAACACAGTATATAGGGTTAGGTACTGGTTTGTTGCAATGTTAAAGTGTCTTTGTCTACCAGTCATCTGTCAGGGTTTCATTTTGTAAGAAATCCAGTTATGTTCTATATGTCTGAGGAAGTTCTGACTTGCGTTCTGTCATTTTTAAGTCCTCCCACCAAAACTCAAAGGGCTCCGATGTGACTGAACTTCAATAACCCTTGAAGTTTTCTTACTTGACTCAATACATGGTGGAATTACCTGTGAGCTGCAGGTTTGTTTTACTCTTATGCTCTTTTGTGACAGCAAAAAGCTCTTTTTCCTTGTTCACGCATAAGACAGGTCAAAAATATGAACTCTCCTTTCCGATCTGAGACATCAATACTTCAACTTCCCCAGCTTTAAGATTTTCTTTTTTTATTAGATACAATTACAAGATACTAAGATTACTTTGCATAAGGTTGTGTTTCTGTATTTGCAGACTAGGCTTCAGAGAGTGAGAGTGCTAGGGTTTTCATCAAAGGGATGACAACATGTTCTCCATGTGTTTAATATAGGTAAAAAAATATTGTAAATGCTTAGAATAAATGAATGAATAGATGGTAAAAATTGCTCTTCGGCTGAATCAAAATGAAAATAAAGTAATAATTTTTGGGCCAAAGAAAGTTCAAAAGTGAAAACACAGATCCAGTTTATCCAGCTAGAAACAAGCATTGAGGCTATAAATCTGTGCGTAGTGATGGTCTCAAACCTGAACCTTCAGAGGCTCATATATAGAGAGGAACAAAGTCTGCCTTCTAACATGTAAAGAACATCTTCAGGACAAATGTCTCAACAGGATCTCATCTCATCTTTAGTAGAATGATTACTGCAGTGTTTCTTCACAGGTCTGCCTAAAAAGTGGATCAGAAAGGTACAGTTGATCCAGAAGTCTGCTGCCAGTGTCCTCACTAAAACTAAGAAAGTGAAGCACATCAAACTAGTGATAAAGTCCTGCCACTGGCTCCCTGTGTCTTGGAGAATAGACTTTAAAATGTTTCTGTTAACCTATAAATAATTGAAGGGCTTAGCTTCAAAACACATTT